ATCCGTTAAATTTGTATAAACAAATAGAGCAATAAATATTGTACAATTCACCTTGTCATGATTGAACAGTAGTTAAATAGTGTTTGTATCTACATAAAAAATAACAATTTATCACAGAATGAGGAGGGGTGAGATGAGTACAGACATTGTCTGTGTGTCTGTGAGTGGGAGGGGGCCCAGCATCAGAATCTAGTTCTTTGTCGGAACAAGTCAGGACTTTAAATATCTGAAATACACGAATGTATAAATAGTTAATAAAATGCATGTATAACTGCATGGTTTGATCTCCCTTTCCCAGATGCATTACTAATTTAAGTTGATGTAATGATACATATACATAATTTTATAGAAATGTAAATATACTTTTTCTTCTCATTAAGAAGTACAATTGTATTGACCTACATATTAGCCTCAATTTCCCTATAAACAATGTTGGCCATGTATACATACTTTGAAGCCCAGTCAGTGCGTCCATGTGTTTTTGTATTCCCTCCCAGGGGCTGGCGATATCCTGCAGAATTCTTGTTGTTTATTGATAATGGTGCTGGCTGAGCTCTCTTCCAATTCACAGAAGGATAATCTATAATCAAAACAGGAAACTTTATGACAAAATTTCAAATTAAATTTATTAAGTCAACACTAACAGCTACAGTATGTGTGTTCACTGTCAACCTCCATAGATCAAGTTACATTTTGTCATGTAATAAATTCATACAAATATAACCATTACCTTGGTGTTTGTTATTAATTTTAATTTACATACACAGATTTGTCAGAATTATCCTCATAGTAATTTGACATTGCCTATGATAAATGTTCATATTGTTACTGTTACATCTATAGTATTTGAAAGGCTTGCTCAACCTACAACTGGTTAAACAATGTCAATTGTTTAACACATTACTTACTTGAACCACCTTTGGTATTGGATAAAAATGACGGTACATAGCTGGAGTTGTCAGCATTGTTTCTCATGCCATAACTACTGGGCCCCCCACCTGTCAAAAGACCACACTCACTTCATTATTATTTAAATAAGTATAGAGTCAGGCACCAAACATTTCTGATGTTGAAAGAAAAATAAAAAATAAAACAAGAGGCCCATGGGCCACATTGCTCACCTGAGCACTGTGGCTAGGAAAAAGGAGAAATTGGTTTATTATTGAAAAGTTTAACTCCAAAAGTAGTCCCATGACCAATCATGGCTTTGCTACTCTTGAGAAAATGATTTTTAAAGAATTTTCCTATATATGTCTATTTAAAACTTTGATCGGCAGTTGTGGCTCTGCCCGACCCCCGGGGGTCATGATTTGATCAAACTTGAATCTACACTACCTGAGGATGCTTCCATATAAATATGATCAATTATGACTTTGCTTTTCTTGAGAAGAAGATTTTTAAATAATTTTCCTATATATATATTTCTTTGTAAAACTTTGTTTGGCCATCCCCCCTCCCCCGCCCTACCCCCGGGGGTCATGATTTGAACAAACTTGAATCTACATTATCTGAGGATGCTTCCATATAAATATGATCAATTATGGCTTTGCTTTTTTTGAGAAGAAGATTTTTAAAGAATTTTCCTATATATATGTAAAGCTTTGGTTGGCCATCCCCCCCCTCCCCCCTATCCCCGGGGGTCATGATTTCAACAATGCTGAATCTAAACTATTTTAGGATGCTTTCATATGAATATGATTAATTATAACTTTTCTATTCTTGAGAAGAAGATTTTTTAACAGAATTTTCCTATATATTTCTATGTAAAACTTTGGTCATCCATTGTGGCCTAGCCCTTCCCCTGGGAGTCATGATTTGAATAAACTTGAATCTACACTACCTGAGGATGCTTCCATAAAAATATGATCAATTATGGCTTTGCTATTCTTGAAAAGAAGATTTTTAAAGAATTTTCCTATTTATTTCTATGTAAAACTTTGATAGGGCATTTTGCTCCCCCCCTACCCCAGGGGTCATAATTTCAACAAACTTGAATGTGCACTATCTGAGGATGCTTCCATATAAATATGATCAATTATAGCTTTTCTATTCTTGAGAAGAAAATTTTTTAAAGAATTTTCTTATATATTTCTATGTAAAACTTTGGTCAGCCATTGTGGCCCCGCCCTACCCCCGGGGGTCATGACTTGAACACACTTCAATCTACACTACCTGCATGAGGATGCTTCCATATAAATATGATCAATTATGGCTTTGTTATTCTTGAGAAGAAGATTTTTAAATAATTTTCCTATATATTTCTATGTAAAACTTTGGTTGGCCATTGTGGCCCCGCCCTACCCCCGGGGGTCATGATTTGAACAAACTTGAATCTACACTACCTGAGGATGTTTCACCATAAGTTTCATCTTTCCTGGCACAGTGGTTCTTGAGAAGAAGATTTTTGAAACATGCCACCAAATTTTCATTAATTCCCAATTATCTCCCCTTGAATGAGGGCTCGGCCCTTCATTTGAACAGACTTAAATCCCCTTCACTCAAGGATGCTTTGTGGCAAGTTTGGTTGAAATTGGCCTAGCGGTTCTTGAGAAGAAGTCGAAAATGTGAAAAGTTTACAGACAGACAGACAGACGGACGGACAGACAGACTACAGACAAAATGTGAGCAGAAAAGCTCACTTGAGCCTTCGGCTCAGGTGAGCTAAAAAAGACACTTTTTATAAACAATTCAAAATACAGGTTCAAATGTTCATTTTTCTGCCATGATCCCGAGAATTTGAAATTTCATGTGCAGGCAGTTCATATCACATGTATACTGTTGTAGTGTATACTTTGAAAAGCTAACTCAATTACAATCCTGTGTCAATGAACCCTGTAAAAACTTACCTAAGGTCCCCAGGTTGGTGTTTTTAGCCCCCATGCTGGGCAAAGCCCCCACAGAGGGTTTGGATGGAGTGTTCCATAAACTGTTAGGACTGTCTTTCTTGGCACTATTTCTTGGGTTTATACCTGCAAAAATATTCAATCATTTACAAGGGCATAAAGAACAAAGTATTCTCTCATGAGTTTATGAGTATTTAACTTCAAACAACAGCTTGGGATTACTTAAAATGACATTACTTAGAGCTGTATTCCAAAATGCATTCTTTTTTCAAGTAAATTGCAATAGATTTGAAAAACCACAGAAAATATGCAAAAAAACATAATTAATTTTGTATGGGTAAAAAGTACAGATCTATTTCAATGCTTGGAATCATATGTATCAATACAGGCTAAGCAAGCCTTAAACTGCAGAATCATTAATATAAAGGGGTCAATGTTTGTGGGCAGCAAAATTTTACTTGTTCATGAGGACATGATCTCATGGGTTCCTTCTCATTTAAACCATTGTTTAATGAATCAGTTCTTGGGGATGTAAATTCATGGGTAAGGTTGATCCAAGAAATCCATGAACAGTGTTTCCCATGAACAATGATGCTTCCAAATTATTCAATATCAAAACGATTCTTATTTAGTGACATTTACAACTTATCTATATACTTTCATGTGTACCAGTAATTCTCAAAATCCCCTTGCTGCCTGTGACCTATTCTGGATAATTTAATTCATTCATATATGTTTACTGTTACCAGTAAGTTATATCCTTACTAAACTGCTATGTAATTTGTGTATATAAATGTGAAGTTTCTACCTGGCAAGTATCGAGCCTTCCCCAGGTAATGTTGCTTGGCTGAGGAGGCAGAGGACCGTCCTGAAGGAATTCTATTGGCCGGCTTACTGGGTTTCTTTAGTATACTCCTACAACAAAAAGGATCAACTCAATAACAAATCAGTAGTTATCCTTGTATTCTCTCTTCACATTAACTCAAGTTATCATTATTTACACAATTAATTTTTTCCATCAGGACGATAAAACTTCTGGTTTTAAAGTTAACTAGGAAACAATTGTTATCATACTGTAATCTGTGTAAATATTGGAATATAGAGGAATTTCTCTTTGCTATTAAGTGTGAAGTTCAACCTTGGGACAATTATTATGATCTTATGCAAAATTTTACATAACAAAGTTTTAATGAAATGCAATTCTTACTTGCTTTTAATTAAGTTGACAATTATTCAATTTTTTTCTTTTATTCAAAGCATCTTGAAATATGAATTACAAAGTACATGTAATACAAAACTTACGATAAGAAGTCATCTTCATCATCAAAATGATTTTCTTTATGCATCACACTCTGTTTCTTTGGTTCAAATTTTGGCTTGTTACCAATAGGAGGGATAATATTTTTAGAGGTGTTTTTCTTAGGGGAGGTACCGAAATCAAAGTCGTCCCAATCATCCCATGTGTCAGAGAGTCCTGCCCCCCAACGTTTACGTCCACTTGGCTGCTGCTTCTTCTTCACAGAGACTGCAAAAGGTTCCTAGAAAAAAAGACATTTTTTGTTGAGGAACATATAGTAAATGAATATGAGTTCTGATTCAGACAAACATCTAACGAATCCAATTCTTTAAAATAGAATCAGAAGAATGAAGATACATGTAGATGTTTTAAATAACCAGAATAAAAATAATCATCATAAGAATAAAAGTACACGTAGAAAAAAAGGTAAATAAAAGTAGAAGAAAAATTGAATTTTTTGATTTTTTTAATCAAAATAAAATGCAAGTAATGATTTTTAAAATGCTGTATGAATGTACATGTATTATATAAAATATCATACACAAAACAGTATACAACTTTTGTACACCAAAAATAGTGTTTTCTATAAATTCTAAGCAAATTTTTTAATTGATGTACTAGGATGAATCTTACACTATTTTCTACAGGCTTAGATATCCCAAATGAGGGCTGGGCAGGGGAATTAACTGGTTTGGATTCCACTGGTTTACTTGGACTGAAGGAATATTTCTCCTCTTGGAGCCCCTTGGTGGGGGTAGGGTTGACGGGGCTAGCGATTTTGTTCGTAACCTGAGGACGGTTGGTAACCTGTGTGGTTCCTAGATTCTGTCCAACTTGGAAGTACTGATATCGTAAACACTGTTGAGAAAAAAAAAAATAGTGTTACAATGATTTTTTTTTCATACATATTCACAAGTAATACAATAGAAAACCACAGTATTTATGAGCTGAATGACTGACATTTATAAAGAATGATATTTCTTTATCTATAATTGATAAGATACCTGACTGGCATTAGGTCTTTTTTGCGGATTCCACAGTAGCATATCCTTCATTAAGTGGATAGCTTCATTACTAGCATTTGGTATTAGAGTCTTTAAATTATTGGCAACACACTGTGGCCATCTAAAGTTCATAGCAGCTGCCAGTTTATATCCCTCATCCCACTCTTCCTGTACAGGAAGAAAACATGATTCAAATTAAATTTAAATCAAATTAAATTTAAATTTGCCTTCAGAAATTTACAAATACAACTTCTTTGGGGTTTGAAGAGAAAAATGGATTTTTATTATTACCTTCTTTGGTGTGCCCAGCACGGAACATATTTTAAAAATCTCATCAATTTCTGAGCTTCCTGGAAATAAAGGCCTGAGGGTGTAGAGTTCAGCCATGATACAGCCCACTGCCCATATATCAATGGGCGAGCTGTAACTGACGGACCGTAACAACACTTCTGGTGCCCGGTACCTGAAAATAAGGGCAACAATTCAGTAGGCATAAAAGACTCTGCATGTGCAGGAAAAATATTTATATTATTTTTATTTTAATAAGAATTTCTAAAACAAAGATAAACATGTATTTGTAAATGTATATGAAATATTCTTGTCAATCACTGCCACTATCTGAAATAATTGTGGAATTATTAGTGTTTGTTGGGGACAATCCCTAGGCAAATGTAAGATGATTTTACAGGTATTCCTAACTCTGGAATATACATTTATGCAATCAATAACTCTGTCATTAAATAGGTTCAATAAATCTTTTATTCTGTATAGAAGAGTTACCCACAAAATTAGGTACCAACAAAGCAGTAAAACTTTAGTTGCATACAAAACATTGATCACAAGAAATTAAGATACCTCTAGTACTGCATCTGTCCATCTTATTAGCTATTACTTGTAATGTATGTGCTTTTTAATCAATCAAACTTTGATCTAAGGCTAGTATTTTTAAGATAAGTGCATTATCAGACTTCTTCAGATTTACACTTATTTTATTTATGAAATATCAAAGTTAATTAACAAACACAATTTCACTCTGATCAAAGTTAATTAACAAACATAATTTCACTCTGACTGCCTTTACTTAAAAAAAATCAATAAAAGCAATGAAAAAAAAATCTTGAGACAGAATTTTTCATTTTATCTTCTTTTCAACTGGTCTTTTTTGTAATGATTTCTGTATATTCCACAAACTTAGACTTCTATCTTAAATTAGTGTAAAATATACAAGGCCTTTTTTAAGCAAAATGAAACTGGCTGTAAAAACATTTACTTTAATATGCAGATTTTTAAAGGCAGAATCTAATCTCATATATGTTTCTTTAAAGCAGCATTTCAACTTACCACTATTAATGGTTTTACTTTGGAGAGGAGGGAGAAGGTGGGGGGGGGGGGTATTTCCTTTTAATGAACTGATAAGTAAGAGCAAACTACTTTGTCTTCATCACCAAACTTGTTTATATATAATTAATACACTGCATTGATGTTAAGTGGAGAAAACTAGATGATCTTTAAACCTGTCAATTAAATTATTTCTTTGTCCAATAACCAGCATAATGACTTCAAGGAAAGACTTCATATTTTATCATAAATGAAGAAATTAGAAATATCTCTTGCATGAACTCCTTGACTCAATACCATATAGAAGAATGGCCTGTCTTCAGAAGTATATATAATCAATGAACACCTACCACCGAGTTGACACATAGTCTGTGTAGGGTGGCCTTGACCTTATTTCTCTTGCTAATCCAAAGTCAGCAATTTTGACACAGTCTGAGCCTGTGCATAGCAGATTTTCTGGTTTTAAATCTCTATGGAAGAAGCCTGCAAATAAAAAGTTGAATAAGACAACAGTAAGAAAATATAAACACAATAAATATTCTTTTTAAATGTTTTAAAAGTCATCTACATTGTACGTCCTAAATATCTTGTGTACTTAGGGTACATGTACATGTATGTTATATCTGTGATTACACAACTTGTCAAGTGTTGTTTTAAAAAAATCAATATATGAAAAAATCTATTGAACATAAACTTCATTCCTGTGTTTTAATTCTCTGAGATATAAAATAATCAATGTTCATCAGATCTTAGTATTATCGTACCATGCTTGTGCATGAAAGCCAATCCCTGAAGAACTTGGTAAATGACATTTCTGATCACAGACTCTGGAAATAATTTGTCTCTGAAAATGAATTAAGATGTCTATTTAATTAACTGTGGCAGATTTTTTCATTAAATATTGTAAGCTTTTATTCTAAATGAGTTCAATTTATAAAAAGATTTAATTTTTAAAAAAATTGATACATATGACTTTATTGAAATTTTATCAATGAAACATTTCATTTGCTTTATAATAAACTCTAAATGAAATATTAAAAAAAAAAAAGAAAAAGAAAGAAAATTGAGAAAATAAATAAGTCAATATAGTGTAATTTTATTCTTCATTTTAAATTAGATATCTTTTTTTTAAATATATCTGCACCTAATGATTTTTTTGGATAAGTTAACATGAAAAATTAATTTACTCCACTGTAATATACATGCATTACACCAATGTCTAACAGTGAGTAATCTTTGTGTATTGTTTGTACCATAGACAAGAAATTATCGAATGATGCTGCGTTGCCCGTAGCTGAGTAAATATTATCACTATTAACATTGATACACCGTACAACTGGCTGTCCTGGTCATTCAATATTGATGGATTTCTTTATCAAACGCGTTTAGCTCAGTGTGTATTATGTATTGATTAACTCCCTATTATTTATCTATACATCATTCACAGTGGTATAGAAATGAAATCTGTTTGCATGCATTTCAATAGGGCTGTTCACTGATTTATGCTGTACTTTTGGTGTTATGTAACTTTAAAATTTAAAGATCAACCTGTAGGAAAATATTTACCATAATTAAACTGGGTGGAGTCGAGTCTCATTAATGATTCTTGTGTGATGTTTTACATTACATCAACTTTGTTTTGATATTCATATGCTCACATATTGAGAGAGTTTATCTTTTTACCTATCAATATCTAACATTATTTAGGCATGCAGCTCTATTATGTAAGACCCCTATTTCTTTGGTTAGTGGCTATATACACAACATATCTAATACTCAATAAAAAAGTCTATATTAAGACTATGACTATCTTTCTCACCTGTCTTTCATCATCTGGTACAAGTTCTCTTTCATAAACTCAAACACAAAGAACAACTGGTCATTTTCTCGAATGACTTCTTTCAGCCTCACTATGTTGGCATGGTTCAGTTTCCGTAAGGACTGTAAAAATGAACAAGAAATTATGTAAGGACACCTTCTTCAATCTTACATTATTTTGATAATTTATTAGTGTCAAAATTGTACCTAATTCTTTTTTTGAAAGATGCTTCTGAACCTTTCAGTTTACAAGAATTTCATTCAATCAGTATTAGCAAGTAGCAAACATTCTTAAGATAAATTGACAAGTACAGCGAAATGATTTTTAACTCCCATGATTTAAAATATTTTGTGAACATAAGTTTAACAAATATAACAAATTTCACTTCAAACAAAGCAAATTCATGAAATACAATACCTTAACTTCTCTTAAATTCAGACATTCATCCCATGAGTAATATTTTTTCTTCATTCTACAATGGAGGAAAACATTCTATAATGGAGGAAAACACAGTGGAATAGTGATGAACCAGCACCCATAAATAAACAGCTTAAATGTTTATCCCATTTATATAAATTTCATCCTGACATATCACATTTTTCAAATAAAGACCTTAGGACCATTCTGGGGGGGGGGGGCTCCTTATAGTCCTTATGGCTACACATTATGCACGCTGAATCTACAATTTTCTAAAGTCTTATTTCATAATTTTCATGCTTAATGGGATTTTTGTAAGACATCTTTATCCAATATTAATTTAAACAATACTTTTTTTTTAAATTAACCCCCCCCCCCCCCCCCCCCCCCCCCCCCCGTCCCTCCCCTTTTGAAAGTGGACTTGACTTATTTGAATAAATCATATCCTAATCCTTTACCAGATACTGCATTATTTTGTATTGGACAAATTTTTTTATGGGTATCTAAGGAAAGTTTTATCCAAGAAACTGAAAGAACACTTTCCAGGGTAATAATCCTTGATGAGGGAATTTGATTTGTGTGGGTCTCTAGAGGGAGTATTTCAGTTATGAACAAATCTCAATTTCAGAAAAAAAAGATTGATTAAAGTGTTCAGAATGGGACAGTAGATTGATGTCTACAAAGAGAAATACAGTTCCTCTCCTATCATACACATGTCTATTACTTTATCTAGTATAACACCTACAATCACAGCAGGAACTGTCCCCTTCTTGTCTCTACAAGTATTTTATTACCCTTTCTCCTAGACAAATATTTATTCAAATTTTACTGTATATGCAAAGAATTTCAAGATCAATACCTTTTATTAAAAAACTGAATGTATATACATATGTTGGTTCAAAATTTTATCACTCAATGACCTTGATTTCATACACACTGACTTGCTTTGGCAAAAAGCCCTAAAATGGAACTTTTCACGAGCAGAGGTATTAAGAGGTAATCTTGGGACTAAAACTTATGGCCTACTTTGCAGATAAACCAAAACGAAAATATCAAGCATAAAAGCATTAAACCTTACTAAGTGTTTTTATAAATCATCATTTGAATACACAGACTGTCAGTCTGATTGTTTAATAAATGTAAAAGAATTTTGGAAATGTACTTTGAATTCCATTCTTTTTATATTACTGCAGATATCAATTTTAATATCTGTTTTTCAAAAATAATTTATAATCATTTTTCCATGTTTTATAACTCTGTAAATATTAACCTGGCCATACATCAAATAATTATCAATATTTCTCCGATGAACTTAAAATGGGACAACAGTATTTGTACTATACCCATATTACTTTACTGTTTACTTTGCATTTTCTACCAAAAAAATTGCACCTATGCAAGATATATGATCAATTATATTTTGCCTTGCCTATGCTATAAAACTCATTCTTTAATACTGGTGAATTTTTAAAATATATTTCTTTTCTCCTTTATTTTCCAATGAATAAAGTGGAAGCAGATAGATTGATATTGATATGATTGGATACTTGTGTAAGGATATAGTATAAATAGTTTTATGGATATGAGTTGAGGAATAAAAAAATTTTGATCATTGTTGGATTGCATTTACGGGATTTCAATTGCAGAAAATGTGACATAATTTTCGAATAGGCATAAAGATGTTGTTTTATTTAAAAATAAAATCATTTGGCATGATATATGTGTACATTATCTTAGCATATGAATGAAATAATATATTTATTTTGTCAAACATGCTAGAATTATCCTAATTAATTTTTTCTGAACTTAAAAATTTGTGGTTTATGTTCGTAACGCATGGTGTCCATATGCATTGAACTTTTTAACACTTCCCTACAAACATTAAATAATTTGTCAAGTTCAATTTCTGTGTTTAATTAATGAGTATGTGTGATAAATTATTTTTAACAATATGCTTCATGAACATACCTCAGTTCTTTTTGTAATTTTAAAATGATCTCTGATTGTAAAATGTTTGGTGTCTTGACCGTTACGAACATAATAGCTTTCAGTATGATTGCTAAAATAACAGCCAATGAATCATAAGTTTGGCTCAGGAAGTCCGTAGCAGTGGTATAATTATAAATTAAAAACGAAAGTAGAAAGGTTGCGCGGCGGTCTGCAAAAAACATGGCGATGCTCATTGTGTCCACGTGGAAGACAGAAGTTACGTACATAATAGATGCGGTAAGTATTTTCATATTGTATCAATTTTAGTGAATTTTTAACACATAAATACAGTCATTGTATTTCTATACCATGTAGCCATTAATCAGAAACTGAAATATGTCGCTTATGACCATACAAAATGCATAAATCTGTCCGAGTCGAGTACTTTTGGTTTAACATTTGACTTTTGATTCGCGTCTTTTGTTACGAACATGTGTTTTTGCATTATTTGTATAATCTATTAATGATAAAGTTATATTGTACTATATTTTATTCTATATTTGTTAGTTTTGTTCTGCTCTTATCAAAGGATGAATACTTTTTGAATATTTGTTTTAATATTGCCATATCATTTACGCAATTACGTTCATAACAGAGACACGAAAACTTGAAGTAGTGACATAATTTGTACTTTAATTGCCTTCTTTCTGGTTTTATCAAGGATATATAATAAATATAATTAAACAGCATATGTGTTGATTACATCATGTTGTATTTTGTTTTTTATATATTTTTTTCTTTCAGATTTACAAGAAATGACTGAAATATGTTCGTAACAATGACACAAAGATCCAAGACTCAAAATAGAAGACCTAGGATATTTAGCAATCCATCTGACAATTTACTTGTCTGCATTAATTCTCTTTGAAAGCTAGTCTATTATTAAGCTTTGAAATGAAATATTAAAAGTATTAAAGACAAGTGTTCGATTGTCTTGTTATTTTTTTTGTTCGTTTTTAAAGCCTGATTCGGAGTTAGGTGTCCATGTTACTTACATAATTTCTCCTTTTTTGAAACTAGAAATAAAAATTGTGACTTTTTAAATAAATTCCATTTAATATAAAATTAAACATGATTTCATCATACCTTTTTGAATACATTATTTTCATATTTTAACAACTTGTTAAATTCTAGTAACATGTTACTTGTTTAGTGCTTATGTAAGTAACGGTGTCCATTGGTAATCTTGGATATATTTTCTAATTATAATGGAATAAGGTAGAAATAAGTCATGCAATAAAACATGCAAACTAGTGTTTATATACTTCAAAAAGGATTCACCAGAAAAGAATAGCTTATTGATTTAAAAAACAGTCACTGTGGACACCAAGTTATGTGCATAAAATTTCAGACATGCTTGTACATTTGGACACCTATCTCCTCTTTAAGACTTCAGATTATCTTCCCATCAATTTTTTTCAGAAGCAGGAAGGGTACTGACTCAATTAATATACATAAATTATGAAATTGATTATTTTTAAAAAATAACCCTTTGGTCACACATCTGAACTCAGTACTGAAGAATGAGTTATAAATATACCAAATTCTCTCTCTCTCTCTCTCTTGAGGTTTTTAAATATACCAAAAGCTGAAATTTATTTTTCACCTGTCTTCAAAGCCCTTTTAATAATGTACATAAGAATTTACACTTTATCTGACCTACAAGAACTAATGCAGAGGTTTACAAAATACTCGAGTTAGACCAGGTTAACAAAGTTCTATATGTCACTGACTGTTAAAATTGTAAATGCTAAGGGATGTCATTGATGATAATTTGATAATACCCTATGACAAATGAAACATATACAATGCTTGAAGATCCCCCCTACCCCTTGCAAAAAAAAATACATACAAAGAGACCTTATATAATAGGATACTGAATTTCATCTAAAATCTCAAAGAATTAGCAGGCAATTTTGCGCTAGAGTAAATTACTTCTTTGAAAAATTACAATATATGTAGTGTAGCCTGGTAAATGTAATAAACTCATAGCAGCCTGTCTTTACAGCTTTAGGCTACCTATTGCAAATGTGTAATGGCTTGCTGCTGTATACAGCACTATCCCATGTATGCATTAATTACTTAATTAAACCTGTAGCTTAATTCTTTAATATTGGAAATTCTCCTCAACTTGAAAAAAAATATTTGAAACCTTCTACTTTTCAAAAGTGTAACATAACTGTCTGAATATTTTATAACAAATACATGCTGATTGCATATATATTACAAATTACGACATAATGCATGTCAGATGTTAAAAAACTAACAAGCTTAAAAAATAATCAAACAACAAAATGTTCTGAAAGTTTTAAAATCAACATAAAAATTGACGAGGAGGTTAATCAAATTGATGTGTAGAAGGTATGGATTTTGTGAAGGCAATTTTATGCAGTATGTAGATTTAATTACAAGAAAGCAGTGGATCAATGACAATCCAGCCATGACTAACGAGATTGATTTGCGGAACTTACTTTTTGATTGCCACTTTTTCTCCTGTCTCAGCACTGTTGGCCAGCAACACACTTCCATAGGTCCCATCCCCCAACTGTTTTATTATCTGGTATCGATTCATTTTCTTGTAAAATATATATCAATAAACTATAAATCCTTGTTATAATGAGATAAAATCCAATGTATATTGTCGAGATCCATGAGTATCTTATCTGGAGACAGAAAACTTCATGTTCTGTCCTGTGTCTGTATCTTTTGTCATATCATATCTGGGAGTTACTGACCTGCAAAAGATATAAGAAAATATGTATATAAGTACACTATATATTATAAATATACAAATGTTTAAAATCCAAGGGACTACATTAAAATGTTTATTTTGCATAATGTGAAACTTTTATTCTTTCAAAATATGAATACATACTTTGTATGTCTACCATAAAACTGACAAATTAAAGTTCTGATTTACAAAAGAATCTGATGAAAAATTTAATATGTAATTGAAGAAAACACACTGGTGGTGTCAGTCATTTTATGGCAATTGAATTTTTATCAATTTTAATGATTTGGTATACAATACTGTACATATAAATTATTGATAAACTAAAGCCTGTTTATGGTCATCTGACTTTTTCTCTTGCATATTAACAGTATTAGCTAATTTAAAGGTGTGAAATATGCATGAAAGAGAATGCAATAATGTCTTTTTCAACAGACAACCTCATTTAATAATTTTAGTGAAAAGAAAGTAAATACACTGATAAAACTAACAATGTTGAAGGAATATACTAAAATTTAATCCAAGCAAAACTTTTTAATTTTTTAAAAAGTGAAAAATGCTAACATCAGCAAATAATTGATAAACTTTGAAAAAGACCTACATGATACTCTTGCTCAGATTTAGTCATTAATCTTCTTTCCTAAGCAAATTCACTTTAAAAGATAAAATAATTTTTTATCATCCTAAAATCATTTAATTATTGAAGAATTTGTATTTAGTTATTACATTAACATGGATAATATAAACAGACAGGGAAATATATCGTGTAAATAAATTGAAGCATTCGGTTTATAAAGTATTTATTAGACACATTTTCGTAAAATATAAAGGGGATTTGCGTGAAGTCAACAATATTTAGTGTTAACCACGTTATCTTCTCCAATTTATTCCGCTAACTTGAAGGATCATGACTTAATTTCAATGGTATTTTTAGTTAATACTAAGACAAGTGACGAGCTACATTTAATTAATTCATATTTTTGTTCTAAAACCCAATATTCGGCAGACATACATATCTGTAAATCGTGAACCGAAAGAACTCGGTACTTACCGCCGCCATGACAGTTTATTGTTGCTATTTTGACGATTGCTGTCACGTGACTAATAATAGCAACGAAATTCGAGTTCCTTCCCTTGTATCACTTGTGAAAAGCTCCCATTTAGCGAATTTACTATGCTAAAACAACTGTTTGGAATTCATTTTATCATATTTTTTTAAAAGTCGTTATTTATAAATTTGTTATAACAGGTTATATTTGGTTTAAACGATAAAATAAATTCATAAATTAAAAAGTTAATATTGTAATTTTTTTTTATACCGAATTAAACAATCAAAAGAATTTCACACTTTTTAAACATTAACTCGCCAGCACCTCAATAAGAGTTTAAACCCTACCATCTTCTTTATAAGCTGTTTATGAAAGGCCTAAAGTTACGATAGAGAGAGTTAGATTTTGTTAACATTTTTATGTCCCCGTAAACGAAGTTTATGCCCTGTCTGTCTCTCTGTCTGATTGTCTGTTAGTCCGCAAAAACTTGAACCTTGCCCATAACTTTCGAGATGATGGGGCTGTGGCTTTCATATTTCACAGGTGTATTCCTTGTGAGAAGACCTTTCTTTGGGTACCACCAACTTTGACCTATTGTCCTTGACCTTGGAGCTTGATTACCTTTACAAAAAATACCACACTTTAACCTTCAACTTAACTTTTGAACAGTTGCAGCTAGGGCTTTCATACTTCACATGCACAGTGTATATATCATTGTACATGTGACAATAAGACCTTTCAGTTGCTATAAATATTTTTGACCTTTTGACCCTGACCTTAGAGTTTGACCCACTTTTAGAAAAAAACTTTAACCTCGGCCATATAACTTTTGAACAGGTAGTCCTAGGGCTTTCATATTTCATTGGTGTGTTCCTTGTTACTAGACCTTCCTGTTTAGGTACCAACGCTTCGGACCTTTTGACCTTGATTTTCTTTTGAGAAAATTAAACCCTCGCCATAAGCTGCCATATGGGGGCATCAATGTTTCACAAACACATCTTGTTCATTCTTATACCCGTGTACTCTCTTTTAATGTCAAAATAGCTTTGGTTATTTCGCAAATCGTGTCCAGATAGGGCCTAGCTCAACAGCGCGTTCAGAAAAACACGCTGTCGCGCTAACACACAACACGCTGTCAAGCTAACACGAGTTCGCACAACATGCTGACACGCTAACACACGACATGCTGTCACGCTAACACGAGTTCGCACAACACGCTAATGCAATAACACACAACACGCTGTCACGCTAACACGAGTTCGCACAAAACGCTGACGCGCTAACACACAACACGCGTTCACGCTAACACGAGTATGCACAACACGCATACGCGCTAACACACAACACGATTTCAAGCTATAACACGAGCTCGCTTAATGTAACACGAGTTGCTTGGTGTGTCTATCGAAGGGCATCCGGGGCTTGCCGGTGTAACGTTGAATTTTGACCCGGGTTGAAAATTGACCCGGGGGTCATTTTTCAACGTTGAATACTGAGACTAAAGGTGTTGAATTTAGACCCTAATCCGTTGAAAACTGAGCCGGGTCGTTGAATTTTGATCATGAAACCGGTTCAAAATTCAACAGCATAAAAACACATATTTATGATTGGGTTTTCACTACTGTGACTTAATTCATAGGTATGAGGCCCCGTTTTGGTATTTACTGCAAAAAGTAATATCCCCTATTTGAATAAGTGATATCACCTGTTCCAATAGATGATATCACCTATTTGATTTGAATTTGTGATATCACCAATTCGAAAAGGTGATATCGCCTATTCGAATGGGCGATATTACCTTTTCCCATCAAACAGCTGTAGTTTCTTTTTGCTTACAAATTAATTTATTTCACTTATATATCATGTTATCAACAAGAAAATCGTAGAAAACGCATGAAAACTGGGTAGTCCGAATTTTCTTGGTTCCAGTGGTAATCTATATACAATGTATTACAGGGAGCATTCATTATTGACTGTTGTAAGAAACTCAAATAGGTTATATCACCATTACGAATAGGTGATAGCACTTATTCAAATAGGTGATATCACCTTTTATTCTAAGCTCTCTGACTTGATCACATGATTAAGTATATAACAGCATAAAGACTTGAATTACTATTCATAGAATCTGAAATGCATATTGACTTTATGTTTTTTTTTCTTGTGATCATATGCTATATTGCAGGAGTCCTTTTAGAAAATTTCATTAAAGTGAGTGACACCCCCCCCCCCCCCCCCCCCCCCCCCCCGCTTACTTTTTTTCATAGAACAAGTGTTAAAATGGAGATAATTTTTTGTAAAAACAGAAATAGTATTGATTTCTCAATTAAAGATAATACAGAGTATATGACTTGATATTTCTGAAAAAAAATTACTACAACTTGTATTAATATATTTTAATGTTCCGTAATTGATGAGACGTAACAATGCCTTGAAGTCTTGAATTAGGATCTACATGTGCTTTATATTAAAACATATTGGATGCCTTTGTCAAAAATTGATACGAGACATAATCAAATAATCAAATTAGCATTCTGAATAACTAAATCCTCTATAATTACTCCATCAATGTATAAAACGAAACACATTTATTAAATATTAAACAGCAACAGCTTAATTTATGCTGATCCCTAGTCTCTAAGTCTTGAAGAGAGAAAACTTGTGCCTTATTCCCAAAATTTTCAAAGAAGATGGTTTTTTTGTTTCATTTAATTTGAAAGACATTGTGGAATTGTTACATTTATGTCATTTTTTTTCTAGGGGGTACTATAACATAATATTTCACAAAAAATAAAACCTAAAATATATTTAATGCATACATGTAGATGCATGATACGTGTACATGTACATTATAAAATAGAAGATTAGAATTGATTTCGCTTGAGAACCAAACTGAACCAAAATTTATCTAATTCAAAATTTTAATACATCAGTACATAAAACGAAACTGACAAAATAAATGGTTGCTTGCCCGAATAAAAAAAAATAACGCCCCATGCCAGGCTCGAACCAAAAACCTTTAACTTCGAGTACACTGAACAGATAGCTTAACTTTCTGAGCTATCACCGCTACACATTTACAAACGTCTTTAAAAGGACAAAGACGCACCACATTGACACATTTGGATTTTTTGGGGAAAAGTTCATTTTTCGTGGTCTCTGCGTCTTCTCTCCATTTTTTTAAAAAGTGTAATCGTTTCTTTGAATTAAAATACACACAACTAAAACCATGGAGAGAAGACCCAGACATAGAAAATTTTTAGAAAAATGTGTTTCAAAATGTACAATTTTGTACCAAATGTCTGATATGGCCAATTTTCAAGTTATTTTTTTAGCAAATCAAAGCTCAATTTCGGGAAAATATTTTCCGTTCCTATTGCACAGGAACCCGATAAATTGAAAAAATGTTAAAATTTCATGTGACATGTCAATAAAATTTTCACTTTTCAATTACGCCCAGGTTCCTGCCGAATGCCCATCAAAAGCGCCCTCGTTCTTTTGTTTTGTCAATCTATGTGATAAAATGATTTATATTCGATAATAATGTGTAATTTTACATTCCTATTTAATTGAGTTTACAACCAATTCTAGTTTAATTTGTCATATTTCCCAGAATGCAATCATGACAATTATTGAAAAAGAATTTTAAAAAAACATCGCATAGGAGATCATAGAGATAAAATTATGTAAATAAGATGAAAAGTTTATCGAAAGGAATCGTATTTTTTCGAATAGAAATGGATGCTAGTATGTTTTCGAACAACAACTTTATTGCATATAAACCAAATAACTATCGAATAAAAAAAATAAAATAAATGGAATAGGAATGACAAAATTAGCGACTAGCAACCGATTGTTTTGAATATTAATGACATCGAATAGGAAACGCGTGTTTTCGAGAAAAAAATATGTAAATTTTATGATATATGAATCATATTGTCACATTTCCTGTAAT